GGAAGGGTGTAAAGATGTTTAAGTCCCGTCCGCAGGCTGTTCTGGCATCTGGAGTCAATCTTTTAGAAGTCATATAGGATAAAATAGAGTAAGGTAGTCTAAATTCCAGGGCGTTTATTTAGGGTTTATTGGCAGTTATATTTTACATTTGCCATGACTCTAGTAATTTTCCTGTGCTTGGGATTTTATCTGTACTGTAGGCAAGGACACTTAAAAAATTTTAAGAACATGGATTTATTCTCCTATCATTTCTGTGTCTACATGCAGATTGGTCAAATCAGGAGAAATATGGCATCTGCTGAATGTAGTTATTATGTTCAAACTGTGGAGAATCGGTGATTGTTCAGTCCCAATGCCCCAGTATGTATGTTTCCTGATGTCCAGTGTTTTGAGGATATCCATAACATGGCTTTTATTTTGATACTATGACTAGATAATTGTTCATGGAACTGTTCAGTACTATACTTTTGGAGCATATAGGGAAAGGGGCTATGAGTTTTCTTTAATATCTTTTTTTTTTTTTTTAAGACTTTACCCATCTTTTGACAGATAGAGAGGCTCCCTAGAGAGCAGAGGACCCAACGTGGGGCTTGATCCAGGATCATGACCTGAGCCAAAGGCAGAAGCTCAACCAACTGAGCCACCCAGGTGCCCCTCTTTTATATCTTTAAGCTTTAGGAGCTTAGTCTTTTCTCCTTAAATGAGGCAAGGAGGGCTATCAGTCCCTGAAAGATGAGCTATGTGAATGCATCATTAAAAATCCACTCATCTTCAGGGTCTTGGGCTGACTTGTGAAGTCACTACAATGACATGTTATCAGTCATCCATTTAATCCAGTCTCTTCTAACAACATGGGGTGGAAATTGCATTGGTCAATTATTTGAATTTTGTAAACATGGATTATTATTCATGAACATTTAAAAATGGGTAAAGATTTTGTGGTTTATTCCATTGGCAAAATCACAACTATAATGATACTTTAGTCCAAAAGTTATGTAATTGCTTAGTAATCCACTGTGTACAGTGCTGTTCTAATTATCTAGATTCAATAGAGAATGCATGCTGACTTCCAAGGACTTGTTGAAACAAATATCTAGACTATGACTAGTTAGAGGATTTTGTAATACTTTCAATATTAGAATATCATATTAGTCTCAACTCTACAGGGTATAAATTTGTCATGTGGCTCTTCTGCTAAGTGGCATTTGCAGATAGAGGCATGCATCAGAGTGTTTATTAAGAGAAGAGGATTATTTGTGTTCAAATCTTCAGATCACCTAATCACAGATCACAGATTAATTTGTGTTCAAATCTTCAGATCACCTAAATGACCTTGGACAAGTTAATTAACCCCCCTGGGCCTCAGCAAAATGAGGAATAGTAATACTCAACTAACACAAGTTGTTATGAAGATCAGATAAGCATGTAAAGAACCTAATAGAGTGACCAGCACATTATAGACACTCAATAAAAGGCTACTATTTTTATTACTGTTATTATTATCATCAGGTATGTTAGATTAAAATCTTTCCTCTCTCTCTAGCATACGGCTGTCCTGACAGCCATGTTTCCTATGATAATAGACCAGATCATGGCTTCCAACCACTTTACTGGAGGGCAGAAGCAAGCATAACATAGGACCATATTCCTCTGGTTCTCTGAAATTTTCCCTTTCCAAGTATGTAAAAGCAGTTTTCACCTGGCAGTGAACCCAAAATAATGAACTCCATGGCAAGTGAATAGGTCTGTTCAATTATTAAACCTTGTTCTGTCAATGACATGAGCTGCAGGACTAACTGTGTTCCATCCATTTAGTCCCAGAAGACCATATTCAATTAGGACAACCTCCGAGTCTATGAGAGTAGTTAAGTTTGTAAGACCAGATGCTATTAGAAGCTCTCAAAGTCCAGTATAAAACAGTCTCCATGTCTGGCTTAATCCTGACTTCCCTCTAAAGTATCAGTTAACTTTTGGACTGTCTTAAGTGTTTTCTGCATAATCTCATGCTACCCCAGAATTTAAATGGGAACTTCTGCCAGATGAACGACACAGCTCACTTTTGCCTCATTCCCAAACTCCCAGCCTTTTTTGGGATGACTACTTCGTACTTCATGTTTTCTCTGTCTGACGATATAGCAGGTGATCAGTTTGGATCCTATCTCACAATGGTCCTTGGCATTTGGTGAAATGGATCATAATCATAATGAATCAATCATAATGAAGAGGATGGGATAAATCTACTGGCTACTTTATATATAAAGTCCTGAATGCCTCAAAGGCATTCAGTTATCTTACATACTTAGAATTTTACAAAGCATTCGAACATTCCTGAGCAGTACGTAAAATAATATAGTGTGCTTCTGAGAATATAGTAATCCATGAGTTGTTTATTGGAAGAGAATATATATCATATTAAAGTTTAAGCTTTTGCTTGACTAGGACTCCTTATAAAACATCCAACTCTGACTCAGGTAGTATCTGTTCAATTTAAAAATCTGTTTAGTTTTGTTTTCCTCACCCTCAGCTGTAAATTAGCCAACTCATGAAAAAAAAAACAAAAAACAAAAAACAGTCTCTTTTTCAGCAGTGGAAAGAGGAGTATTTTTTAAGTTCATTTTCTTCCTTTTTGGCATTTTTAGTTAGTTTAGGTACTAACTACCTTTGGATTCTACTCTAAATTTTATGCAATGGCTAAATGAATGGGACATGGGGCTAAAGAAATGCAACTGTATTTCCAAGAGATTAATCCCTTTCCTTGTGAGTGAATTAAGTTCTTGTAATAATTGTCAGACCCAAGGTCTTCAGATTCTCTGTACACTTTTAACTAAATATCCACCCTATGTTTGCCGTTACATCAAAAGTGGTCAATAAATTAAGAGCAATCTTTAGAGTCTTCTGCAGATTTGCAATTTTTAATTACTCTCATCGATTTTGCAATAATAGAGATTCACTTTTTAGATTGTGAAGTGTGTTTTAGAGAGTAATCAGGCGAAGAAAAGTGCTTTTGAGGGGAAATCTTTCAGTGGACACATTATCAATTCAAGCTTTATATCTGTTGCATTTAACCAAAAGAGCAAATTATAATATCATAGAAACAGTTCAGTCTCACTAGAGTCATTAAAGTGTTACAAATGTGAAATTAAATTAATAGTTCTAAAATGTTCATATTTGTCATAGTGGAAGAATTACAGGCAATAATTTTAAAACCTTGTATTTATTCTCTCCTTGAGTTGAAAATAACAGCAGAAAAGCAGTAGCATTCAGACTTCTTGACTATTTAGCAATCTGTTCATCCTTAGTTTAAACATTTATTACCCTGTGCCTTCCAAAAATAAAATGAAAAGTTGTATATGCTGGTGAGAAAGGAGAGAAAACATGTTTTTTGGATTTTAACTATCTTAAGAATGATATGATTAGTAACTTCTCATTGAAAGAACTTGGTGGAGAAAATGTGAGACCGGAGAAAAAGAGAAGGGTCAAGATGAATAAAACATAATGATTTGAGGCTTTTAAAAATACCATCATATGTTTCTGATAATTTTGAATTTTCATGCTTTTTGTCTTAAACTATACTGATAATTTGTTTAAAATTAAATAAACACTTGATCCTACAAAACCATGAATATTTTAATTCTACTATATCAATGGTTATCTTCAACATCATTTCAAAATAGAAAGGCACTAGTCACTTATGAATAGACATTGCTAACTGGCATTCCCCTAATTATATAAGGCTGCCTCATGCACATTTCTTTGTAGAATAGCTGATCCAACCAACCAGCTGACCAAAGGTACTTCCATCTATAGCCACTGGGGATTTCTTTCTAGTCCCTACCCTCTAAATATGTGTGGTGTGAAAAATTCTACCTTCTAGTCCGCTCTTCTTCTTTTCCAGAAAGGAAAGGGCATAAAGAATGTGAGAAAACAAGAATATTGGGAAGAAGTAGAGGAAAATAAGGGATTAAAGGCTCTGTTTCAGGTTATAGAAATCTCCAGAGTAGGGACACCCAAGTGTTTTCAGAATGAGGTTTAATGATCAGAAATTGATGTGTGGGTTATTTTTTATAATAGTGGTAAGTTGAAAGAATCTGTCCCAGGTTGTAACTCAAAAGTAAATCGAGAACCTGTGGAGGTTTTACTCATATCTAATTTCTGTCTTTTTTCATTATCCCAAAGTTTTGTGATGTCACTTAATGCAAATACATTTGATGAGGTCAAAAGTATAAAGTTTCAATTATTATCAAATTATAATTACTAATTGATTCAAAGCTGAGAGCATTAAACATTGATGGTAGCAGGGTAGGTAATATAACTCAGGGTAAATTGTTTTAAATAAAAAAGTCAGGTAGTCCAGGTCCACAGTGGGATCAGACAGGCCAGATGTCAGTATGGGCACACATTGGGTGTTCAGCATGGAGGTGGTGGTGACCTTTTACCCATGGTTTGAGAGACAGGTAAGCATGAGAGGATGCCTTTAATTTTCTGCCATGGCTAACTTTGATTTTCCCATAGAATGTTTGTTTTCTGTGGCCTTTCAGTTCTATACTTCTATTAGTGAAATATTTTATCAACATAATTACTTAAAGAGATTTCAGTCAGCTGGCCCTGGCAATAAAGCATTATTTAATCATTCTGTTACCATGAGAAAACATTTTCCCAGATAACTGATCTACAAGGAAACTTTTGGAAGCAACTTGTTATAAATTGCATATATAGTTTTCTTAAAAATATATACAATTATGAGCAAAACAAAAAGCAAAAAACCAAAAACAAACAACTTTCCTTTGAAAGAGAATGCTGATTTTTTTCGCCCTATTCTTAGGATTTGTCAAGCACTGCAGTGAATTTTTTCCCCTGTGCTGAAAGTGTATCTAATTGGCTTCATAATTAACTATTTTATTAAAGCCCAGTACATTTTTTTCTGACCTTTTTTTTTTTTCCCTGCAGTAAAAGACAGTGTTTTTCTAATTAAAACCATCAATAAGAAAGTCACTTCTTACCTTGTCAGAAGGTTTAAATGGATTTCCTTGTCCACTAATTCCACCACTGATACTAAATCCAAGGCCAGGATTTTTTTCTATTCTCACACAAAACTATATAAAAAAGATACAAAAAAGTGATCAAATATATATGAAAGCTAAATATTTTCAAATAACTGCATCACAGTAGAAAAGATCCACATTTCACTTAAAGTTCCCAGGGTTAGTCTATATTATCTCAGTACACAAAAGACAAAGTACTTAGTGCTTCTATAGGCATAAGTCATGACTGAAATAACCTGAAATTACCTGGGCAAGCAGATATTTACTTACTCATTATTGTGGGTAGAAATGCACTTTGATTAGCAATTTTTAAAAAATGAAAAGCTATAGTTATAACAATAATAAAATTATGCATTATTTCAGTTACCTACTTTAAATGCACATATATTCTGACCAAGTAGAAGAGACCGTATGAATAAGTGAAAGAATATTTGCAAATGTTCAGTGAGGGAAAATATGGCTGTTTGAATAAGTTGCTACTGCTTGCTAAGAGAGTAGCACAATTCATCTCCTTGGTAGGTGATTCTGTTGTTTAGAAATAGCAGGGTTTTTATTTTAAGAAAGGGGAGAACTTTTGATCAGAGCTCAAGTGAGGGTGGAACAGTGAGAAAATGAAATATTCAGTAATAGAGTTTTTGCGTTTGTCACCAGCTCCTGCAGAGGCAGTTAGAAGCCTTGGAAGACAGAGGAGAACACTGAAAACAGAAAGAGGTCAAGACTATGGAGAAACTGACAAGGCATAGTTAAGTATTTAGAACCGTGAGGGCTAATATTCTAGTATTCTGTGCGGTATTATCTCCCCAAACCCTAAACCATCAATGAAAATCTGTTAAACACAAGAGCCTTGTGTGTTAAGACCTACAGGGAAATGATGGCATGGGAGTAGGTCCATGTCATGCTAAGGCTGTAGTATAGAGGAGGCTATTATAAGAGTGAATGCAGATCAAGAATTCAGCAGAAGGGAAGTCATTGCCAGGAATGATCTAGAGAGATGATAACAAACCTAGGAATGCTTTTTTTTCCCCTAAGATTTTATTTATTTGTCAGAAAAAAAGAGAGAGAGAGAGAGAGTGTGTGCACGAATGCACAAGCAGGGGTTACTGGCAGGCAGAGGGAAAAGCAGTCTCCCCACTGAGCAAGAAGCCTGATGTGGAATTCTATCCCAGGGCCCTGGAATCATGACCTGAGCCAAAGACAGACTCAACTGACTGAGTCACCCAGATGCCCCCAAACCTAGGAATTGTTGATGATCCTGAGCTGGGATATGTATGAAGGCCATGGTGAAAATGCTAGCTTTCCATGTAAAGTGGGATGGGGTGACCTGAGATGATTGAAAGACTTGCGACCCTAGTGGGTGCATACATTTTTGTTACAGAAAGAAAGAAAGAAAAAAAGAAAGAAAAAAGAAAAGAAGGGAAAAGAAAAGAAAGAAAAAAGGAAGGAAGGAAGGAAGGAAGGAAGATTTTATAACTTTAAGTACAGAACAAATACTGGAACTAGGTGAACCAAGTCTTACCAGAGATTAGCAGGCCAAAGATTAATAAGGAGTTAAGAAAAAAAAAATCTAAAGAAATACATTCACATATATTTTGTATTTATATAAACATATTCTGAGAAAGTTCTTAAAGGTGAGTGTAAATGTTTGCTTTCTTAGGTAGTGTAATGTCTTCCCCAGCAATCTTGCTTAGTTAGACTATTAATTTCCTTGTGGACAAATGTAAATGCCTAGATGCTCTCTATATTTTTATTTTCAAGATACCTTTAATCCCTACCTCTTAGATAGTTCAAGGCAAATTTGAGTACTGTTCCTGGCTTAATTAGCATATATTAAGAGTCCATGGGAACTGGATTAATTAGGTTTGGCCACTTAATGAGACTATCTTTAATTTACTATCATATTTCTTAATAATAAATGTAATGTTTAACTATTACATAGTTCACTTGCAACACAAGGGCAAAATACTATCCACTAATGGGATTTTTATGGTAGAGTCTTTAATGAATAGTTTCTAAATTATGGGTAACTGCAATTACCATAAGTACTTTCCCATATTTTTATTTTAAAGATATGTTTAATTATAACTTTTCCTCTAATTGGGCTAGGTTTGTTAAAACCAGTTATCATAGGGTAATAGCAACAACAGTTTATAATAGTTTTGTACTTACATGGCTCACCATCTGTGGATACGAACATAAAATAGCTTGATATAGCTCAAAGGAATATTTTAGTTTTATTCAATATACCAGTTTACCTTGTATCCTTTTTTGTTATCAGTGGTTAATTAGAAAATAGTAAGGAAGGAACTAATATGGTTTAAACATTTTACCTTTGTGCTTCCCCTACACGTTTCCAATTAAATTATTTGAAATTTGGGTTATATCTTTCTAATGTGAAAATTTTATATTGCAAATGAAATATGTGGAAAGTATATACACTTCTGGTTTTCCCCAGGCCATTCTAAAACCTGAAAGGAAATGTATGCAACAGATTTTATTTACAAATTAAATTGCTGAGAGTACTTTTTAGTAGTTCTCTTTCAAGGCACTGACTATATCTATTTTATATTATTGTCAATCTGGAAGGCACTAAAAATCTAAGGGAAACAAATTTCGTATGTGCCAAGTGTGTGAAGAACTGCCTCAATATATTTTTTAATAATAGAAATAATAAAGATGACACTGTGGTTTTATAAATGTGACAAACAACCATAAATTCTGATCTGAAGCTAGACCGCCCTTGGGCATGCTATGGTATGGCTAATAGGTTGCGTTGTGATTGCTGCGTCCCATAAAGCATGTCACAGAGCGTATTCATCTCACATATAAGGAGTTCCACCTTCCTGGTAACGGGGCCATAAAATGTAAGAGGAGAGAATAGCTCACAGCCAAGAAGCAGTCAGAAACTAACGAGAATTATCAAAGAGGAAATGCAGTGTTCTAGCAAAAGGTCAGAACTAAGAGGCTAATAAATAGCTTATGTAATGAAAATCAGCATTTCAATTTTCTATTAAGATACTGATATCAAGGAATGAAGTTTCTGGCTGAAAATACAAATAATGGGCTGGAAGTCAAGGGTGTATTTGCTTCTTTGAGAGTCTGCTTCCATCATCTGACTTGACTTCATGCTTCTGGTCTGTGTCAATCTTGCTCTATTAAAATACTGGGTCTTATTTTAGAGAGGTCTACGATAAAATGGGTTGTTATGTAGCAGCGAGGCCCTGTGAAGTCATAACCTATAATCTCTAGAAGGTAGTAATATGGTCTTGCAATGCTCTACAACCTAGTGGCAAGAATAAAGGAGATGGTAGCTCTTGTGTGTACATGTGCACATACGAACAACTTATGTGTTTGTGTGTGTGAGTGTGTGTGGGTTGGGAGGAATTAGGATTAGGATCAGGATTAGGGAATTGCATTGCAGAAAAATATTTGGTGGTGCTGTAATGAATTGATGTGCTATGATATGTCCTAATTATTATTATCTTTCCTAGGAGTGTGTGTAAAAGCTTTTAAGGGATACCTTTGTTTTTGCTGTCCAAGATCCACTCATCCTAATTCTGGTAGCTATAACCTTAATTTCTCTCTGAATAACTCATCAACTTCTTTATTCTCAGCCTATATACTTTAGGTGAATCATGTTATCTAGGCCTCAAACAAAGCACTGTATGCCCTAGAAATGTAAATGTTTATAAGATGGGCAGGTAATCCAATCAAAAAGGAGTAATGAGATGCCTACTATGATTTCCAGGAAAGAGAATCTTGCTCTCTCCTGCTAGTTTTAAAACTACCATGAGGAGAAAGCCTTTTTTGAGACAGGAACCAACCCATAGAGAGGTCATGAGCCCACTTTAAGCCTCATCTGAAGCTTGCCCATTCCTGTAGTTTTAGCTAAGTATGTATGAGTTAAACCCATGCCCCCTCTCCCTTTTTTTTTTTTTTTTTTTTTTTTGCGTAAGTCTTATTAGGTTGAGTCACTTATAATCAAGAGGGCTACTTGGTAAAAATTCAAGGGGACATTTGCTTATTTGTTATAAAACAATTGACTTTTCTTGTCTTTTACTTTAAAAGAACCAAAATATAGTTGCTTGTGGAAAATCTTTTTGGGAAGTGAAGTAGGCAGAACCTCAAAAATTCTGTACTGATTGAAATTCAAGGTGAGGTTTTGATCTACTAGAGGGTTGTTAATTGTTGAAGCATCAAGAAGGAACTTTGTAATCAAGTATATTAAGCTTCTGAGGCCATTTCTACGCCTGACTCCTGAGAGTATTACCAGAGAGTATTAGTGAAGACGTATCCACATCCACATGGATTTTTATGCAAGTAGGACACTTGGATCACCTGTATTAATCATATCTATTATGTTATCTCTTCATTGACTCTCTAGGACAATGGCTGGCACATGCTTAGCACTCAACTTTTATTTTTATAACTATGTGCATATATGACAAAAGATACTTTCAAATATGCATTGTCAAAGGTATATAATGACTCCTTCTGAAAGTATGTCATGAGCTGTTAGAAGGTATGCCAGTTGTTCAATGGCATGCTCCAATTATGTAATTAACTGCTTGGAGAAACCACTATAGCTTTGAAAATGAAAATTGTTATAGAAATCATTATTCATGCCTTTATTCCCCAAATATTTACTGATTTCCTACTAAGAGCCAGGTACCTTGTTAGACAGATAAAATATCCTTGCCGTCATGGAACTTACATTCTGATGAGAAGACATATTAAACATGTAAATAAGAAATAATTTCAGATAGTGAGATGAGCTGTGAAAAAAATAAAGCAAGAAAGGTAGTAGAGAGTGATGGATCAGGAACGTGGAACTATTTTAGGAAGAATAGCCAAGAAATGATATTTTAAATACTCAAGTGACATTTTAGCAGAAATACAAATAATGTAAAAGATCATGCAACAGACAAAAAGAAACATGAGAAAACTGCCAGCCCATGTCAATGATTTTAAATGCCCTGAAGGTAGATGGGTCTTTATAAAATCAAGAAACAACAAGATGGCATAAGGATAGATGTATAGATCAATGAAATAAA